AATAAAAAAGCTTTAAGAAATATGCTATTTATCCGACTCGAGCTTTAAGCTATCGATAACATAAGACTATAATAAATCTTTGCAAGCAGTTAAGCAAAAGAGCGTCTTTTTAGCAGTATAGATTAAAGAACATCGAGCTATTTATAAGTTAGCGAAGATAAACAACTTTTATAAGACGACGAATACACTCGCGATAAAAGTATTCTTAAAAGCTATTAGCGAAAAATAATTATTAACTTAAGCGTCGCTAAAGCTCGTAAAAATCATTCGAAACGACGAGCTGTTATTGCTTTAAAAGCGCACTTTCTACGACTACTTTAATTAATACGAAAGCTAAATCGAAGAGAAGATTAGCAATCCGAACTTTAACCTTTTTAGCGTATTCGCTACTTTTAAAAATCAAACTACTCGCAGCACTTCCGGAAGTGATAAAGCTAACGATATTGCTTTTAAGCAGTCTGGTAAACGCTTTAATAGCTTTAAAAGACTTATTAAGGGTTTTAAATGCTCGTGCTTTAAAAAGAGAAACTATTATTAAGACGCAATTAAATGCAAGATCCTTCGCTATTGCTTTAATAGTCTTGACGAAGATAGATTCGCAAAGCCGAATCGAGATAATATCGTCGCTATAAAGAAAAGGCTTTAAAAGCTTAAGTTTAAAGCGCTTCGAAAAGAGATTACGAAAGAAAGTTAAGTATAAATTCAAGTCGATAAAATCGTTTTAAAAAGCAAAGAAAAGCAATCGAATGATAGCGATAAGTTAAAATACTTTAAGAAAGTGTTAATAGCTATTATCGATCTTAAGCTCTTTAATACGCTCGATAATCTTATCTTTAACGGTCTTTATAGCACGGCTAATAATAAACACTAGCTATTTAATAGCATTCTTTTCGACAATTGCGGCGCTACTTACTTTATTAACGATAAGAATCTTTTAAAGCTAAGGTTAATTCAACGCTTTCGCTTAACCGACTTTATTAAAGTTAAAACGAATAGTTTTTTAATCGTCGAGCGAAGTATTAAAGTCTTTAAAAGAGCTTTGAACGGATTAAATAAAGCTAAAATAAAAGATTTAAGGTTAAAAAACGTCGTTATCGTTAAAAGTTTTAATATCAATATCATTTCGAAAGCTCTTTTAAGCAAGGCTAGCGTATAATACTCGAAATATAACGCAACTCTCCGCTACGAAGAAGTCAAAGAAAGCGTCGTATTAAAAAAGTTAAAAAAGAAGTTTAATCTTACGTTTTTTAAATACAAGCTATTTAATTATTTTCTGCTTTAATTGATTCGTAGCTTCTTTTGCTTAATAATATTCTTTACAACTTAAAAGCGCTTGCAAATACGTTATAAATTCTAAAAGAGTAATATGCTTTAAGCTTTAAAAAAAGATTCATCGATACTTTAGCATTTACGAACAGGTCATTTAAGCAAAAAAGCGCTCGAAGCGCTAGCTTACAACGTTAAGAAAGTAAGATTTAAAAGAATTATTAAAATTAAATGTAAAGCATATGCTATTACGTACGCTTAACAAGTTATATCTCGCCGCACGTTAAATAACAAAGCAGCTAAGCTATTCTATAAGATCGCTTAAGATCTATTCGATTTCTTTAACGGTTTCGACGGAAGCAAATAATTATTAATAATTAAAAATAAATATAATAAAAAGCTATTCGGCTTTATATTAAAAGACAAGTTGTAATTGACGGTTATAAAGGTGCTAAAAGAATTCGAAGCATAAACAAGACGCAAATACGGTCTTTTAATAGCTATTATGCGCTATGATAACGATTTCTCGATAATCGCAATCAACGTTATCAGCTTTACCGAATATCAAAGATAAGCGAAAGAGGTCGGGATCGAGTTAAAGCTCTTATTATTTTTTAATTACGAACTTAATAAAAGAGCTGAAAAGGCTAAGAAAAAAGTAATAAAACGGTCTATCAAAATAAGAATAAAAGCAAGGCTCTTAGAAAAGCTTTAGCTTAAGACTATACTAGCCGCTATTTACTTTTACAATATAATACCGAGAGCGAAGAGCTTTATAAAAAGTCCGAATAAAATGCTACAGCTTTAGTTTAAATAATATTTTAAGTAGTACGATCCGGCGATCTTTATACGGATCGATACCGATTTAAGACTAGATTGTAGCGGTTTAGTTGCGTATAGCGCTCGTGCGTACTTAATAATTAAAGACCGAGAAGCTCTTCGTAATAAAAAAGCTTTTAAAGTTAAACTAAAAAAATATATAAGCTACTTAATTAGATATATAGCTTTTAATATATATAAGGTTTATGTTCTTATACTTTATAAAATGATTGTTATACGCAACGTAACGTTCGATAAAACTTAATTCTATCTTAAAAACGAAAAAAAATCGGTCGGCCAATCGATTAACGAAATCAAAAGCATCGTTATTAAATTAAAAGATATTAAAGACTTTAATCAAATAAAAGACGCTTTGTTTAACATAAAGAACGTTGCAAAAGATCGCTTAAAAGAGACGAATACAATTAATATAAAAAGTAAGCAGCCGTTAAACCTTATAAAAGTTGATTTAAAAAGATTTAATTAAAGCTTAAAGAATGCGACTTTATTTAATCCGAGCGATGTATAAACGCTAAAAGCTTTAACTTTAATTAAAGACTTTATAAATACGTTTATACTAAAAGCAATTGCTTTACGAAACGATCTAATAAACTTTAACGATTCGAACTACACCGTTAAACGTCTCGCTAGCTCTTTAGCTAAAAGCAAAAGCGAAAGTGCTTTAAGACTGCTAAAAGCAAAGAAGAGCATCGTAGACGGGCAAAAACCTAGCTTTAATAAGAAAGCGCGCAAATCATACCTTCAAGTTGTTATTTAAAGCCGAGGCCCGGAAAGCTAAGCTATAAGCCGACTAACGAAAGCTTTTACGTTAATAACCGGCAAAGATTTAAATTAAATAATTAAAGAAGAGCCTTTAAACTCTTTTAAAGCGAGCATTAATAATAAGAAATTAAACTATAAACACTTTAAATAAAATTCCGATTCTAATAAAAAGCACTCATTTATTAATAGCCGTATTAAAAAACGCGCGAAGATATACGCGAGTATTAATAAGCTTCTCTTAAATAACTCTCGCGCCGATTCGAACCGCTATTCGCGCGTCTTAGATTTTATATCGACTTTTTAAGCTAATAGCGAACCCGTGCGCGAAGATAGCAAAGATTACGAGATATTGCACGCTATTATAGCAGCTGCTATTTCGTTTAAGCTATCACTAAAACAGCTTAATCCGCAAGAACGAAAACATTTAAAACCTTTTACTTATTAAAAAAAGCTATAACGACACTTATATAATAAAGAGTTTAAAAACGGAGCTTTTATAAAGCTAAATAATCTAGAAAAGAAGAACTACTAAAAAGTGATTTTCGAGAGCGAAGCTAAGTTAAAACTTATACCTTTTAAATAAGTGTTTATATATAAGACTAGCTCGTCCGGAAAGATCGTAAAGTTCAAATTAAAGATTATTATTAAAAGTGACTTTTAAGACGAATCTATTATTTATTCAACTTACGCGGCTACGTTAATAGCTAGATCTTTTAAGATCATGATAATTATAATAGTTGAATTTAATTTAAAAGTAAAATAATTCGATGTCGTTAACGCTTTTATTAACGTTATAAGATATACGGATAGCGTTTTAATCACGTATTATCTTTTTAACGGTTTTAAGCAAAAAGATATGCTCGTAAAAGTCGATAAAGCTTTATATAAATTCAAAGACTCGTTAGCTTTATAATATTTCGACTTTACAAGCACACTCGATAAATTAAAGCTTATACTACTCGGTAAAGAATTATATATTTTTACGAATTTAAATAAAACGGTCTTTATAGCGTTTTACGTAAACGATATTCAAGTTATATATTATCACTTTAATCTTTTTAAAGCGCAAGAAATCATTAACGGTCTTAATAAAGCGTATAAGATCGAAGCGATAAAAGATATTAAATAGTTTCTTAATATAAAAGTCGCTCGAGACTGTTAACGAAGAACGCTAACGCTTATGTACGACGCTTATATTGAAAAAATAGTTAAGAAATTCGAACTTACGGACGGACGCTGCTTAACAACTTTATTATCGTTCTATGACTTAATCAAAAATAAAAAGATAGCTTCGCGGAAGCAAGTGAAAGAGTATTAAAAGAAGGTTAGATCCGTATTATATATAGCGATTATATTACGCTTAAATATAGCTTTTGCAGCTTCTTAACTCTTTTACTTTAATACTAATTTAAGCGCGGAGCACTTCCGAGTTGTAAACTAGTATTTGCGATATTTATTTAGCTCGCGCTTTAAAAGTATTCAATACAGCTAGTTCAGTAAGTCGGAGCTAATAATAGCCTTTAACGCTTCTTACGCTAATGACGAAGAGACAAAGCGATCTTCTTAAAAGTATATTGTGTTTTTGTTCGAAAGTGCGATCTTTTAGAAAGTTTTAAAGCAAGATATAATTATTATATTATCTATTGAAGCAAAGCTTTTTAATATAGCTTTTATAATAAAGAAGACTATAGCGCTTTAACGATTTTTTAAAGAGCTGCACCTTCGATTTGCGGCGCTTTAAGTAGTTTATTATAATAATTAACAAATAATCAAGCTTATAGCTAGTAAAAAAGAACGTATCTTTATCAAGCTTCGCTACGTCGATATTCATAATATATAACTGCGCTAAAAGCACTTTAAAAAGAGCTTTTAAGTTTAATATTTCTTTATTAACGAAATACACGCTAATAGTCTTATTAAAAACCTGACTCGATAAAAGTTTAAAAGCTTTATTAAACTCTTAAATTTATAAGACGCTCGCGCGTCCGTCGAAAAGCTTTAATAGCACGTATATGTTATTTACTTATTACATTTCATTTTTTTTTTATTTGCACGTGATTTAAAGAAAAACATCTATTTAACAATCTTAACTATTATTTTATTTTATCTTACACGCTTTTACCTTTCGCTTTTTATAATAAAAGATCGATCAGAGCTCTTAGCAATCTTTTTACTTTAATTCGGCGCTCCGTAAGAGTTATAGCAACGGCGAGCGCCGCTGTAAAAGCGGCAAGCGCAATAACTAACGTAAAAAAAGCGACGATAATAAGTGCGACGAAAGTAGCGGAAGCGACGGGAGCAATAAAAGCGGCTAGCGCAAGCGCAAAAGCTGCTACAGCAGCAGATTAGAGCTTTTGCATAAAGTCCGAAAAGAAGTTCTAATTAAAAAGAGCTGCTTAAATTAAATTATTTCGTAAGTCAAAGAGTTTAACTTACGAAAGAATAATATGCTCGAAGCGCTTTGCGTCACCGGATTACGATTCGCTGCCATAGAACTATTCAATCTAATAAAAGCTATATTTAAATTAAAAGTCTTAAAAGCAAGAGCAAAACTTGCAAGGCTACCGGGACTACTTTTAAAACCTTTATTTTTACTCGTTAAACCGCCCGGACTATTAGCAACACTTCTTAAAAAAGCAGCATTTAAAGCGATCTATTATCGCATAGCATCTCGGAGACTTCGGCGAACTCTTTGTATAGCACTATTGTTTTTAACGCTTACGAAGTTATCGAAAGCGGTGTTAGCAGCGGTAAAAGCAACGGTGCAGTTGCTATAGCTACTCTTAGCATACCGAAGACAGCGTATGACGCTCGTATCGCAATTATAATAGTTTTTATTAGACTTCGATGTGATCTTACTATTAATGCACTTAATACACTTTAAAGCTTTAACGGTCGTTAGCATAAGCAAGCGCTTAATAAAAGGGTTTAAAGAAAAAAGCGAAGCTTCGAAAGTAAAAGTGCGAAGCTCGAAAGTAAAAGTGCGAAGTATAATCGCCGCTACCGCTTTAGCTGTAGCAGCAGCAATAGCTAAAGCAAACAAAAGATTCTCTTAATAATTAGCATAGAAATATTAATCTATCAAAAGCATTACTTACTTTTAAACGGCTTCGGCCGCGCTTGACGATTCTATTAGATTGAGTTACTTGCTTAAAAGGCATTATGTAAATAGATAAAGGTTAAGTGTTTATTATAATAGAAAAGAACGCGTTTTCACTTATATAACAACGCGATAAAGACGGCGCTAAAGACCTCCGCTACGTGATAAAGCCGACTTAAGAAAGAATTGCATTCTTAATTAACACTTAATCAATAATAACAACCGCTATTTGTTTGTTTAAATTGCGATGATAATCTCTTTTATTTATATCGAGTTTAAAAAGCTTAATCACTTATTTTTTTTCTTTTCTATTTGCTTGCAGCTCAGCAGCTACGCTGCTGACTTAAAGAGTATATTGTGCGGAACAAGCATAGTTCCACTTAAGCTACATGTGATATATCATATGACTTCGCTTAATAGCGCTTTTAATACACTAGAGCTCTTAAGTATATGTACATAGATCTTGACGAGCTTCTTAGATAGAATATACCAAGCTTTATTCAATCTACAGAATCTCTTCCTGATCTTAGTACTAGTAAGCACTACATAAAGCAATAGATAAACGCTCGAAGACGAGCTTTTTTCGAACGGGAAAGTAATATAACGATACGCTAAGTCTTTTAAACGCACTTTATATACGCTAAGCTACTTCCTTTTTTTTTCTTTCGTATTTTTCGTATTCTTTTATTCCTTGCTTTTAACTTATAAATTATAGTTTACGAATCCTTAGCGCTTTTACTTTCGTATATATAGACTTTAGCTACTTTCGACCTTTACACTCGATAGTTGTTGATTCTAAGTCATTACTTTAAAATTCTCTTGAGCTTTCATATAAACCCCCGCGCTCCCGTGAGTTCCTTCAGGTAATCGCTTAAGGTCGTCACACTTAATCTTTTATTATAAGTCTATCGACGTTAAAAGCTTCGCTAAGCTTTATATCTATTATATCTATAAGTATTTTAAAGCTTTTTTAATACTGACTTCCGATAGAAGACTTTAATACTAGTCCGAATTCTGAAAAGAATTTAATAAGATACTCGATATTAAATTGACTTTTAGCACAGCCGCTTACTTTAAAACTAACGGTTAGACCGAAATCTATAACTAGTACTTGCAAAAGCGCTTCCGTCTTTTCGTAAGCTATTATTAAAACGATTAGAGCGAGTTCTTTTTTATTATGGACTTCGCTTAATTAACGCTCTTTTACGACTTTTTCGGCGGCCTTTCCTTTTTTAAAGTAATTTACGGCTACGCTTTACGAACCATTTAGAATTAAAGCTTAAAACGACTTGACGATTAAACTTTTTCTCGCAAGCTTAATTAAAACGAAGCTCGCGCTTACATTAATCGCTACTTCGAAGCTTAAAACTTCGTTAAAGAGCACTTTTAGCGCGCTTAAAACCGTATAGCAAAACAAGCTAATAAATCAAAGCGCTCGATTGACTTCGACGTTAATAATAAAGTTTAATTAAACATGCGCTCGTTCTTTACTTCTCGACCGTTAAAGAAGCTCGATAACCTTACGAACGGACCGTTCGAAGTTATCGATAACGTTTATAATAGCTTTAAACTCAAGCTTTTCGAATTAATAAAAGTTTACTTAGTTTTTTATTTCGAACGGCTACGAAAAGCTTTTAATAACTTTACTTTCAAGCAAATCATTTTTAAACTTAATTTAATTAATATTACCGGCGAACTTAAGTACGAAATAAAAAACATTTTAATCGTGCGCTAAACTAAAAAGCACTTCGAATACCGCGCTTTTTAACTCGGCCGCGATATTAACTTTATTTAATACTCCGCCTTCGACTTTATGTACGCTTCTTTTAAAATACGTGACTTTTACTTAGAATACAAAGAGCTCTTCGGTCTTCTCGCGAAGCTTTTCGAATAGATCAAAGCTTATTCGAACGATATTGATAATTACGATTACTTAAGCAATAATAAAGCAATAAATAGACGCTCGAAGACGAGCTTTTTTCGGACGGAAAAGTAGTGTAACGATACGCTAAATCTCTTAAACGCACTTTATATGCGCTAAGCTACTTCTTTTTTTTTTCTTTCGTATTTTTCGTATTCTCTTATTCTTCGCTTTTAACTTATGAACTATAGTTTACGAGTCTTTAGCGCTTTTACTTTCGTGTATATAGACCTCAGCTACTTTCGACCTTTACACTCGGTAGTTATTGATTTTAAGTTATTACTTTGAGATTCTTTTAAGCTTTTATATAAACTTTTGCGCTCTCGTGAGTTCCTTCAGATAATCGCTTAAGGTCGTCACAGTTATTTAATAACGGCCGCGCGATTGGTATCGTCGAAATAGCTTTCGATAGCTTTCGTCGCCGTATTAATAATCGATGCTTCTCGTTTTAATACGAAAAAAAAAGCTATAAACTAATTGCAATATTCCTTTTTCTTTTTTAAAAATGCTAAATAAAATTAAATAGCGATATAGCGTTTTAAAGCCGTATATAATCGGCGTTATTAATATTATTATTATCCGCGGAAGATTAAGTTGAAATAACGAAAATTATTATTTAAGCTTTACGGCGAGCGCAACGAGCTATCAATTCAATTTTAGCGGATTTTAAAAAAAAACCGTATCTTAAAAATCGAATAAAATAACAATCAAGTCGTTATATGCAAATTGAAAATTTCGTATTAAATAATTAAAATGGTAATTTATAAGCTTTCGCGCAAAAGGCTTTTAAAAGGTCTTTTATTATCCCGAGCCCAACTATAGCTATACAAACCGCGACGAAGACGATGCATTATAATAATATAAATTGAAAAAAGCAAAGCGATACTAAGGAAAACTTAAACAAAAATAATATTCATTTTTTTTTAATATAAAAAAAAATAAAAAATCATTTTCAGCAGCTAAAGCTGCTCGCTCCGTTTATTAGCTAGTAAATCACTTTTAAGTTTTTTAGCAACCAAAGCTTTTTCTCGTTAAAAATCTAAAAAAGGCAAGCATCTTAAAAAGTCTATAATTATTGCGAAAAAAAAAGATTTAAGCTAATAAAAGTGTGACAGCCTGCCTTGTTACCTGCAGTTAGCTGACCACCCATTCAGGCCTAGCGCCTGTGGCCAAGTATATAGACCTTCTTGAGCTCTTTCAGCTTCCTGTTTCCTCTCCTTACTTTAAATTCTAAGGTCAGAATTCATCAGTTCGTCATAAAAAGCGCCGTCGCTATAAGCTAAGAAGTAAGTTTAATCAATTAATAAATTGATTATTAAATACAATTACTAATTTATATAGCTATTGCGTTGAAAGAGATCCGACGATATTAAAAAAGCATCGAGCTTTTTATTAAAAAAACTCTTTTCTAGCGTTTTGCTCGAAAAATTACTTAGGATTTTAAATAAAACTTTAAATTTCAACGCGTCGCAATACTTTAAAATGTTTACAAAAAGCTTTAAAAGCATTTCTCGCAAAAGAGTATAAAAGTAAGTACTTATATATTTATTTATTAATCGATCTATTAATTACTTTTAATAACGAACTTATTTGCTATCTACGCTAAGCGAGTTACGATTCAAAATAAAAATATAGCGTTAGTTAAGAAATTACGGGAAATCATAACTAAAAGTTTTATTTGACAACTTGAGTTTATTATAATATATTATATAATATAATTATAAAGTATAATAAACGTGACTAATTAATATAATAAGTAAATATAATTAATAAATATAATAAAGAAATATAATTCGTAAATTTATATATTATTTTTAGCTGTCCTATTTTAAACTCATAAGGTTTCCTCATCCTTCGTAAGGAATTTGACTTAAAAAAATCCTCTTTATAAGGTTTTTTAAAAAAAGTCCCCCATCGGCAAAGACCTTATAGAGAGGATGGGGAGGAAAACCCTATGGGGCCCCCACCCCATGGAGCAGCCTAGCTCGCAAGACTCGAAAATCCATGGATCAGCTTAAAATTTAAGAGTAATTGCAAGCTGCAATTCAAACCCGACTGTAATATTTCAACGTTAAGAAGAATTCTTAATTCTCAATATGTGTAGCACGTGCACTAGCACGTAGAAAATTATTGATTTAGCTAAGAGTCAGAGAGCAGCGGAGATATCGGAATATAAGCTTTCGCCCTTGTTCTTGTATAAAGATTAGCTTTTTAGCTATTCTTACGTATTTAGCTCTTAGCATTCTTATATTTGAATCAATACCTTTTCCACTCTTGATTCTATCAAGCTCCATACTTCTTTTTTGAGCTCCTTCCATGCTCAGGCTGGATGCAAAGAGCCAAGCGGATACATAATCCGCGCCGTTGCAGTATCTCTGAGACTCCTTAATATGCTCAGGCTTCTTAAAAATAATGTAATCAGGATATTCGCCATAAGATTCGTCAAGGGCTCCCAATGGCTGCTCAATTGCGTATAATCTTCTATTTGTTTTTGGTGTGAGCTCGAGATCCTGAATGCCACTCCACTGAGCGCAGGTTTTTCCATTTGGACCCGTCACTCCAAGCTGAGAGATGTGTTCGTCCCTTAGGAATATGACAGAAAGGCGGTAGGTGAGGAACTCTTCTGGCTCCTTTAGCATGGACATGGAAAGCGTCTGGGAGTAGAGCTTGCTAAAGTCTTTAAGGTGAGCGAATGCCATGTTGGCCGGTACGGTAGGATCATTACGGCCATGCAGGTGTAGAGTCTCGAAGCGACAAACTCGTGATACTGTTGCATCATAGTTGTCCGTGTCGGCCATTGCGATTATATTTGAAGGCCTAGGGATTGGTGGCGCGAGAAGTTGAAGATGGGTTCATAATAGGTGGCGAAACAACAGAGTGCAGTACAAGACTACTTGTTTTTATTAGAACATCAACTGATCATGAGTTAGTATCGCCGGTGACTGATTTCCATTAGTGCTAGAACTACTCTGTAGGTAGCGTAGCTCTTTCCCTTCCTGATCATAGTGGCATAGTAGTCGGTGCGCTCGCTGCCTTAGAACCTGCGGGCTCTCGGTTACCGTCAGCGCAAGCCTAAGCCTAAATTCTAAACGAAATTCGACTCTAAATTTCCTCAACTCTGATTTCCTCTCCGATTCCTATTTCCTCTTCGTCTTTTATTTCCTTAACTTGTATTTCGTTTATCTTCCCATTCAGCAGCCCAGCAGTCCAGCACTCCAATCACATGCAGATTGCATGAGTCTCGCACATTCAAACCCATATCATGAGCATTTAAACCCTCTCTAGTCACCACGCTATGCCTCCAGAAACACAGTCCAGCCCTCCTTTGACCCCTCCTACAAAAGATGAGAGAGACTCAAGTTTAGTCTCGCGTGTTATAGAGCATATCAAGAATCGACGGGAGGGGCGCGACTTGACGACTTCGCCGTGGGTCGCATATTCGTTAAGCCTGCAAGAATACCAAGAGCTGCAACTCGAACTTGAAAGAGACGAGTCTCTTTGGGGGTTTGTACAAGAAAAGCTCAGGTGCGAAGAGGCTTCCATTGGGCCCTTCTTTCCGATTTCAATACCTAGCTAACTCTGCACGCAGATACGACTACTTTTCTTCAGCCAGTCGACTTGTTATTCGAAGGCCCACCGCTCTCCATGAACAGTATATCATTAATATTGTGGAGGAGATCCAAGCACAGTTGATATCTGTTCGAGATAATTCTGCAGATTTTGCGAGCAAGATCCGGTCTAGAGGACCGGCGTCCATTAAGTCCCTCGACGAAGAGTACACCACCCACGACCCCGATGCACAATTTCGTCACTTGAACGCCTCGTTCCCAGGTGTCGTGATCGAGATTTCCTATTCACAAAAAAGGAAGGATCTTGGACGCCTCGCGAACGACTATATACTAGGATCAGAAAGCGATATCCAGGTCGTTTTAGGCCTAGACATCGAAGACAAAACTAGCAAGGTGGCAACGATATCTGTTTGGCGGCCGAATATCATTACAAATAGCGTTGGGAAGAAAGAACGTATCGCTCAATTAATCGCCGCGAACCATGTTAGCAAACACCATTCAAATCTATATTTAACACTAACTCTTTACAGGTTCTCCGTGATACTAATGGCAACCCAGGTACGGGAGCCCTTCTACTACGCCTTCGAGACTTCGCCCCAGCAGCCCTGGCCGGGGCTGACTTACGCGATCCAATCATCCTTTCTGTCCGCAAGCTGTGTTCGCTTCTTGACGACGCGGAATATGCGGTTTCTTTCGTTGGGCGGCCAATTGGCATCAGGGCAAATGCCGTCGCAAGTTTCTTATAATAAATACCAAATGCTAATCTTTGGTTTGAATCAAGATCTTTCTCTTGTTTAGCAAACGGTCTTTGAACTAAATTTTTTTTTAAAAAAAAAAAAAACCCCCCCCTGCGGCCAAAAAACTATCGATTTCGCAAGGTTATCAGTATACCGTATACCGGTATTGCGAAAACTGCCATGTTTGAAAACCAGTATTCAGTATTCAGCATTCGGTTTCGCTAAACCCGATATTTCCGCGTTGGACCAAACCACTACTCCTAAGAGTAATGAAAAACTGCAATCACGCTCTTATATGGTCCTAGGGCGGCAAGCGCCTACTACGACTCACAATATACTAGACGTACATTAATCTTCAGTAAATTAATCATTTCACGGAGTCATACTCGTCATCCGGATTTTATCCCTTCCTTTGCAGGAAAGAAGCCAACCCGGACACCCTGCCCAGGCTGCAATACAATCTCAGCTTTCAAGCATGGATCCCCACCATCCACAGCACCCATATGATTCTCTATCCTCTCAAACTTCTGCAACAATCTCACAATCGTATATCCCATCTCCGTCAGCGCGAACTGCTGCCCGATACAGATGCGTGGTCCACCATTGAATGGGGTATAAGTCCACGGCTTCGGCTGCCAACTTTCCCACCTCTCGGGGGAGAAGTCTTTCACCTCGACACTCTTGCCATCAGACAATGTTAACGGAGGGGTGAGATCCGGACGTCGCTGCATTAGAAGGGTTGAATAGCCGATCGGTGTATCTTTGAGGACCCCCACCGGGGACAGCCCGTCAGGCCCGCCGCCGTGCGGGAGAGTGGTGTCCCTGAGAGCGAGGCGCAAGTTGAATGGGACGACGGGATAGAGGCGAAGCGTTTCTTGCATAACGTTCTTTTCAGCCCGTTAGCTCATGGAAAAGAAAAAGGGGGGGGGGGTGAAGAAATAGAAGAAGTGAGACGGCGTACTTGGAGGTACTTCATGCCCTTGAGATCGGCATATGTTGGCGCTCGCTCAAGTCCTACTTGCTGTTTGATCTCTACCCTCAATTTCTGCCAGATCTCCGGATGTCTGGCCAGCTCATAGAACGTCCATGAAAGGGTTGAGGCAGTGGTGTCTCGTCCTGCCAGCAACACGGCAACGAGCTGGTCCCTCAGCACCGCCCTGTCGCGCGTAAATCCTGCAAGAGCGTGCAAGAAGGTGTAGCCCTCTTCAGACTTCGTCTTCGTAGCCAGCTCTTCCGGCGAGAGGCGAAGAGTCTGCTCGATGTAGGGAGTGACGAACTCGTTGATCGTCTTGATGCCTGCGTTGAAGCTTTTCCTCGGAACCAAGAACCTGAGCGGCCTACTACCTATCAGCAACATGCCCGCTTGCAACAGCGGTTTGGGGTGAATATTACCCAGCCCTAGTGAGGAGGTTCTGTACCCTCTGCACCTCTCCAAAGGCCTCCGCAAACCCCTCCCCAGGCACCTCTAAGCTACCTACACTCGTCCCCAGCAGGAAGTGCGTCGCCGCATCAAGCGTATACCTAAAGAACAAGTCACTGACGTCAAGTTCTCCCCCCTGACTCCCATCCGATCTCCTACCCGCCTCTTCCATCTTCTGCATCAAAATCTGAACATGTTGCTCAAATACCTCCAGATCACTGACGCGATCCTTAACAAACTGTGGGCGAATCAACTGCCTCGAGCTATGCCACTGATCCAAGTCTGTGGTGAAGATCGAGTCACCGAGGAAGTCTTTCCATTCGCGGTGGAAAGGCTCGCCCTTGCCGTAGTCTGTAAACTGCGTTGCGAGGATGGCTTTGATGTTCTCAGGATCTGCCGTAAAAATTACGCGGCGGCCTACGATGGCAGCTTCTTTGGTGTAGCGCTTGCCCCCGACCGACTCGGTGAACCAGTGGTTCCACGCTTGGAGGTTTTGGTGGTTCATGGTTGCTTTCACTGCTCGGGCTATCAAGTCGAGGTCTGCGAGGATGAATCAGTATTTCTGACTGAAGAAGACGCTTTGAAAATGATTCACCGAAGGGTAACTTTGTAGATATTCTCTTCGCGTGTCCGCCCAATCTTCTTATCCGTCGTTCATTGTTGAGTAGTTTTGATGTGTAGAAAATTATATAGATGGCAACGAGGGCGACGGCCAGCGTCTTTGGCGAGACTCTAGTGAGGAGATCGTCGATCATGGTTGCTTGCTTCCGGAAGGAGTACGTCGGTATCTTGAGGGTAAACAAAGGTATTTTTCCAAGGGCTCTAGCACTTTAATAGATGAGCGTCAATATCCACAGCGCCAGCGTGACATTTGTCCTTGTCGCGCGATCTGAAGCTCCGAACTGCCGTCACCATGCGATTTGCCCCTCGCTACCTTTCAAACAGCCCAGCTCGCTTATCCCACTGGTAGCGAATCAAAACACTCCTCTCACCGCCTGCTTATCAAGTACAGTAGATTGATATCCCGGCGACTTTTGCCAACCGGGTTCCCCTCCTTCTCCAAACTCTCTGTCTCTGTCTCTGTTGCATCGCAGTGCCACATGGAAAAAGAGGGACAAATAAGGCACGTGACGAGAAGGACGGAGGGAGGAAAGAAGCCGAGGTAAATTGAATAAAAGTATCGGCACGACAAGGCGATCTTGAGTGAAACATGACAGCGGGCATACTGGGCACCTGCTGGCCCGGTACTACCGGCCCGTTGAGGAGCGTGCCATAATTGTTACGCGGTACGTGGGCGACGAAATTTTGAATCTGCGTCTGCTTCGTGATGAGCCAGGTAATCGGTAAGCGTGGTGGCTTAGAAGAGTGCAGTGGAAGGTGATGCCGCATAAAACTACAAGACGGAAGTTCGTGTAAATCGTGGTTCGCAAACCGGGATCCTGTCTCGCTATCTCTCTTTATACATCAGACATGGACGAGCGGGCCGTCGTCGCTAAGACAGCCGAGCCGAAACAACAGCAGTCGAAAGTATGCAATAATACAACCATCTTCCCCAGCCTGGCCTGGAACACTCCTCAAAGAGAGCACTCGGCAGCATCACTCTGCGTGCAGAAAACCATTTGTACTGGTCCTGCCCCAATCCCACGACTTACCATCCGCTCGCGCATCTCCGCCAGTCGCGGACTTGCATCAATCTGACTGCGATTCTGCCCGCCTGCATCCTGTCTTCCGCTCCAAAGAACCTCACCGGCCGCAGAAGCCCGAGGCCATACCATGTCATCCAAATTGACCGGATCAGTTTGCTCAGACCAGATGTGCACCTCACCTCCCATAACTAGATGAGTTTGGTTGGCGGGCACACCAGCGAGAGGGTCATAAGAGTAGACAAGGCGCCAGTTGTGAAAGGGGTCACAGTAATCCTTGAAGGGGTAGTACTTCTGGAAAGAATTCCCATTTCTAAAGTTGAGCCATTGGCCTTTGCCACAGTCGAGATACTAGCGAGATTGTGAGCACACGATTCGGAATGGCACAGTGCGAGGCAAAAATGTACCCAGTAATGATAATTTCCAGTCACAACCTTGTGGCCCTTTCCAGTGATTTGAGCCACGGATTCGTCACTCAGCCATGATTGAACCAATACGTCGCTACCGAGTGTGAGGCCCCACTCGAGCAACATCTCTTCCCATACGATTGGTGTCATGCCCGCCTTGCGGATCTGGTCATGATTGCGATCAACCATCTTCTGGATCAGAGATCCAATAAGAAGGCTATCGTTAGACTGGACAGTGTCATCAAGGAGATAGACCTGTTTGTTGACTTCGTCTCCTCCGGTATGGAAGTACGCGGAATAGGGCTGGACTCTCGGCAAGACGTCGGAGAAGAGGGTATTAAGAAACGCCGAAACTTCGGGGGAGTTAAGCTTCAGAGATCCACAGGGTGGCTCATTGCAATACGTGTCCCAAGGCCTGGCGTCGAATCCCGCTACCAAGTCGGGATAAGCGTAGCCAATGGATGAGGTGTGGCCTGGCATATCGAATTCGACGATCATCTCAACCCCATGCTCTACGGCGTAGGTTTGCATCTTCTTAAAATCTGCTGGAGAGTAAGAGAGACCTGTCTGGTAGGCGCCCTTCTGGGCGAGCTCGGGGAGGGCGGGGACATCTAAAGGCCAGGACTGCGAGTCGGTCTGGACGCGCGGGGGCACGGCGGAGTCAGCAATTCTTTGGTTTGGGAAAGGTTAGAGAGAAGGATAGGAGAATGACGACAATGCATCTTTCCCCGGTTATATTTACCCACCATGTGGATGTGAAGGCGGTTGAACTTGTTCATGGAGAGTGCGTCAATGGTGCGTAGGATATCGGACACGGGGAACCAGTTGCGAGCCACGTCCATGTTGAGTCCTCGGTGGGGAAATATTGGGGCGTCTGTGATATCGACAGGTGCGAGGTTGGTATAGATGCCTGAGCCGGACGAGTGCTTGTAGAACAATTGCACGAAGGTCTCGAGGCCGTGGAGAACCCCAATGGGAGAGACTGCCGTGATGCGTGCCGTGCCATCAAGGCTGACCTTGAGGCTGTAGGATTCATCCACCTCGCCGGCGCGAGGTTTGAAGGTGCTGGCGGTGTCGACGCTGCTTTGGATGATACGGAGAGACTTGATGTACTGCTTTCTGGAGCTGCTGCTACTTTCCTTTGCCGGCTCGAATGCGGAGAGCTGATTACGAGCATGCAACTTCCACGGGACCAAGCTGTGCTTCCACAGAGTATCCAGAGCACGAGAGATTGCAGCTTGAACTATCGAGTGGCTGGAGAAGTCACCGGTTGAAAGTATCTCCTCGTTCACATCCTCATCCTCATGTCCAGGTCGAAGAGAAGGCTGGACATGGAGCACATCATAGTTCACATGGAAGTTCCGAGCCAGCCACAACACCGACGTGCCATTTGAAAACGACTGCGGAGCCGGCCAGATGGCGACAACCTGCCGGGCGGCAAAGGGGGCGATGAGATAGAAGAAGAGATAGAGAGGACCAAACATGGCGATACAGCTGCACAGCTCAATTCAATGTACTTGTGTAGATAGGTATAGAAGTTAGTATGTATGTGTGTATATAACGAGCAAGAAGAAGAGGAAAACATTCAGCTATAACCATAGTTATAGCTAGCAAGCGGATGGAGGCAGGAGATGAAGGAGACACGACAGACGGACAGCAACATGATGATTCACAAGAGCTGCGGTGTTTATATGGTGATGGTGGGACGTGGATGCTGTACGTCGTCGATATGTACCCTATACCCTATACAGGTATCACGTTATCAGTTTACTCGCGATGACTAATCACACGAGTCGACTAGAGGCGATGTGACTAAGCAGCTAAGTAAGTCATTACATCCTTGGCGTCCCGCCCAGTCTATTTCCGGACTCCTTTGAGGCTGAAGTCAAGTTTCCCACCGTCGTCCAACACGAACACCTCTACACAACACGAACTCTTTGTCGGCCCAAGCCATCACAAAGACCAACACCCTCACCTAACCCCGTCGAGGAAACCAGAACTGGGATCAAACGGCAGACAGACGAAAACGAGAACGAGAACGAGACCGAAGACCCAACCTACTCATCCACCTCCCTTCTTCACGACTCCCCCATTCTCCTCCTTCTCCTTCTTCGAGCCTTGCCCTCAAAATCCCACCGCACCGCACCGCACCGGACCGCCCATAGCCACGCGCCCTCCCTCCCAAAACAAATCCATCAACCAAATCCATCAACCATGTCCGTCGAGGTCATCATGGATACGCCTCTGGCGCATTCGCTGAACTCGGTCATTCAGCCAAAGCTAGTCGAGGTCGGATGGAGCTCAGGTGGTGGCGACGAGGGCCAGCTTGCTGAGTACATTCTGCTGATGCTGGCGAACAACAAAACCCAGGACCAGATTGCCGCTGAGCTTTCGAGCGACCTGCTCGGCCTTGGCCCTGACGACCCCGGAGCTCGAGAATTCTCGCAGTGGCTCTTCCATCAGATCGACATCCTGAATTCGCAACAGAATGGAACAGACGGCCCGGCGATGGTCGCTGGTGGTGCACAGGATCCAGCTATGCAGGATGCGGAAATGGGCGATGTCTCCGAGGGCCTCGGAGATGGCAAAGTGTATGTTATTTCATCTGTCGACCTGTCGCAACCCGACACGAGTCTACCCCCAAGACCTCCAAGACCTGCTCAACTAACAAATTTTTCTAGACCCACGGGTCCAAAGTCGATGCGCGATGGTCCAGGGCCCTCTCGTCCAAGAGACAAGAGGATGCTTGGCCATCTTGCCAAGGCGATGGATAGAACCAACGACTCCGTCCTCCACCGCGTTCGCCCTCAGAACGGCAGCGAGCGCATCAACACCCACTCCTCTCGAGCACCGCCCACCGGACCGCGACAACAGGCGCCTGGCCGCGGTGGGGTCAGAAATATGAACTCTCGTGTGAACGAATATGTCGCGACGCGAGGGGCGCCAATGCAACAGGGAAACATCGCAGCCAGTATCATGAGCATGTCATCAGACCAGCAGTTCCGACTCTACAGCATGTTAGAGCAACAGTCGAAACTCATGGCGCAGATGATCGCCCCTCAGCAGCAGATGGGAATGGGTAACGGGTTCCAGCAGCAACAACCAGGCCGATCGCTCTTCGAGCGCGTTCAGCGACCCCAGAACAACGGCCGGGGAAATTTCCAGCAAAATAGCAAATTTGGAGGACAACAACAGTACAAACATCTCAACCACCATCCTAGAACTGGCAGCGATGCTCAATCTTCGTCAATGGACGTCGAGATGCCGCAAGAGAAGAAGGAGCTTGACCCGGAGAACACGAAATGTAGATTTAACCTGGCATGCACGAACCCAGATTGCAAGTTCGCGCATCAGTCTCCAGCAGCGCCCCCCAGTGCTAGCATAGACTTCAAGGATACTTGCTCGTTCGGTGCTGCGTGCAAGAACAAGAAATGTACTGGAAAGCATCCGTCCCCTTCCCAAAAGACTGCGTACCAAACAGCTCAGCAATGCAGATGGGGCTCAGATTGCACCAACCCCAATTGCACCTTCGTTCACCCAACTGCCTGTCGCAACGGTGCCGACTGCACCATTCCTAACTGCAAGTTCGGTCACACGAAGATCGTCTGCAAATTCAACCCTTGTGAACGTCCCACCTGCCAGTTCAAGCACGTCGAGGGCCAGAAGAGAGGAAAATTCGAGGACAAGGTCTGGACGGCGGACTCAGCGAAGGAGCACGTCAGCGAGAGGAAGTTCGTCAAGGAGAATGCAGAGGAGGAGCTGATTGTACCAGGGGCTCCGGGGGAAGGGTTGATTCAGGAGTCGAGTGCTACGATCAAGACGGAGAACGCGGAGGCCATTACATAGGGCAGGAGTTTCGGTTCTGATGGGAAGGTGCCTCACAAAAGTGTATACCAATTTTTCTTTTCTCACCAGTGGCTGGACACGAACGGCGTTATCTTTGGTGTGGTGATCTTTAAGCATGGATAGGATGGGCTCGAGATGAATCATGTAGAATGGATCGTTCCTCTTCTGGCACCTCAAGAGGAAAGACTCTTGAGGCAAGCCCTTTCGGATTTCAGCTCCACTATGCATTGTGAATTGATGGTTTATGAAATGGTAGATCAAGAGAAAGAAGCAGACAAATCTTACTTCAACCTCGATAATGAAAGCTAAACTTTCATTTTCCCCGGTTTGGCGACATCATAGCTACACAACAAGTCTGAAGAAGCACTTGGAGGTCTAAGCGAGAAGGCACTAAGAACTGAGCATTTCGACCTCATCCTCAGGCCCGGTTACAGAACTCTACGTTCATCTCCACCAGAGCACCATCAATCTAAGCAGGCAATGCCTCTCCATTTCCCCCAATTGCCCGAACATGTCATGGTGACTCTCCTCCGCCAATGCTACGCCAGGCCCCAATGCCAGGCCCTGTGCCGGCAAACACTTGCTTTGAATAGCTCGAGATCCCTCTCTACACTCCGCCCTCAACTGCGCCCACGGCACCGACGACTGCGGCCATGGGCTTCCATACACACCCAATCTTCTCACGAAGCCCAATTCCCTCTGCCAACGAGCTTCTCCAGCACGAGTCCTGCAGTTTTGGAGGGTGATATTCCAGGAAGAGGGCGAAAGGCAGAGCCAGCGCAAATCGCCGTCCTGGGAGGCGGCATCACCGGCCTTGCAAGTGCGCACTACCTCACGAAAGAGAACCCGAATGCAAAGATCACAATATATGAGAGCAGCGAGAGGCTGGGTGGGTGGTTAAAGAGTGAGGTGCTCGAGGTGGAGGTGGAGGGTAAGAGGGAGAAGGTGCTGTTTGAGAGTGGGCCGAGGACTTTGAGGCCGCATACGCCCGCTGGGATGGTAGTGCTTGAATTGGTGTGTTGCCCTACGTGATCTTGGGAGGGCTGGAAGGGATAGGTGGGATGAATAATTGTCGAAGAGGAACCGGATCTAATCAGTGCTGACAGTCGATTTAGATTCAAGAGTTGGGGCTCGAGAAAGAGATGCTCATTACGCAGACCACCTCCCTTGCGCATCAAAATCGCTTCGTGTACTACCCCGATCACCTCGTTCGAATGCCCGGCCCAGGCCAGGATGTATTTGATATGTCCTGGAGACTGCTCACGGAGCCCGTATTCCAAGACCTCGCGTGGGGCGCTCTCTGGGAGTTCAACGTAGAATGTCGACCCCGCGAGCTGGAAGATGAATCTGTGGGTGACTTTCTCGCCAGACGACTGGGTAGTGAGAAGCCCGGCAATAATATTGTAAGCGCAGTGCTGCACGGCATTTACGCAGGGGATATCTATCAGTTGAGCGCTAAGAGCTTATTGCCGCTGCAGTGGGCAATGGAGGGATGGCGAGGCAGCTTGAGTAAGGCCATAATAGCCAGAAGCGCTGAAAGTTTGGAGTTGATGTCCAAAAAGGATATTGATCTTAGGTGTGATGTAATGCCGAAGATCAATGTCTCGATGTTGGATGCCCTGAAGACGGCGAGTGTATACTCGTTCAAGGAGGGCATCGGCTCCCTATCAGAGGCACTGGTCAAGTCTCTAGAGGCAAATCCCAACGTCGATTTCAAACTCGGTGCTGGTGTCACCGCTGTGGAGTTCGACGGCGAGAGTGAAAGTGTCACGGTAAGTGTCTCTGATCCCTTCTCCTCCTCCGTCTCTCTTCCTAGCTAATTAATACGCTTCAGATCTCAACATCATCCCGCGACTCGTCCCCAGCAAAATACACCAAAGCAATCTCCACCCTCTCCAGCCGCGTCCTCTCGACACTCACTTCCACCCCCATGCCCACCCTAGCCCAAACCCACTCGGTCACAGTCATGGTCGTGAACTTGTACTACCCCGATCCACACATCCTACCCGAACGCGGCTTCGGCTACCTCATCCCGCGCTCCGTTCCCTTCGAGCAAAACCCCGAGTGCGCCCTCGGCGTGGTCTTCGACTCCGACGCCGTGCAAGGGCAAGACACTGCTTCCGGCACCAAAGTCACTGTCATGCTAGGCGGGCACTGGTGGGACTCATTTTCAACCTACCCAGACGAGGAAGAAGGTGTGAACATGGCAAGAGCAGTGCTACATCGCCATTTGAAGATCACGGGGAAGCCGGTGGCGACGAGGGTCAGTCTGCAGAGGGAGTGTATTCCGCAGTACACCGTGGGTCATGAGAAGAGGTTGAGGGAGGCGCATTTGGACCTCATGACGGGCTTCAAGGGGAAGTTAGCGGTGGCGGGAAATAGTTACACCGGGGTCGGCTTGAACGACTGTGTGAGGGCTGCGAGGGACGTGGTAACTGGCATGAAGAGGGGGAATGTTATTACGGGATTAGAGGATTTTGGCCGGAATGATATTTATGTGCCGGTGTCGGCGCTGTCCCCGGAAGAACTTGCTGAGTGAAGAGCATGAATGGGGAGTAGATGGTGGAGTAAAGGGGGGGTTGGGAGTTGATACTGGAGAATGGGGTTAGAGTTATTGATACTCCGTGACTGGGCGTGAGTAGAAGTGAGGAAGGTTGTAAAGGAATAACGCGGCAGCAAAAATACCTGCAGTAATTCATATACCTAGCTCACCCATCCATCCATCTTCTGCAGTCTCTTCTTCTTCTTCTTCTTCTTCTTCTTCTTCTTCTTCTTCTTCTTCTTCTTCTTCTTCTTCTTCTTCTTCTTCTTCTTCTTCTTCTTCTTCTTCTTCTTCTTCTCTTCTTCTTCTTCTTCTT